ACCGAATTTGGATTCGACAGCCAGCCCACAATCACCTTAGAATCCCCATCAATCAATAGGTTCTCCACTCCTAGTTGATTAGCAATCTGAATTCCCTGTACTGCAGCCAATATCTCAGCTCTTGTAGAGTCCCCTATCCCTATCGGGCCTGAGAATAAGGATATGATGTTGCCATTTTCATTCCTCAATACTCCTCCAATGCCAGACGGTCCTGGGTTACCCTGGCTGCTTCCGTCAAAGTTCAGTTTAAAAAAACCTTCTGGGGGAGTTACCCAAACTATAGTGGCTCTGGTTTTCCTAACCGAAGTGTGTGCAACTGTGGCCTAATTTCTCCAGATGTCATCAAATGAAAAAGAGCTGAAAGAAGCCAAGGATTTCAACCAATGGATAGTCCTGGTTAAGATACAATCCTTCACTTCTGTAAAGGACCTCTCTTTCTCTTGGAAAATTCTAGCATTTCTTTCTTCCCAGATTGTCCATAAGGTGGCTGCTCTAAAACATCTCCACATACTCCTTCCTCTTTTTGTTAGGCAAACAAAGGTAGTTGGTGCGAATAATGATTTTACCTCTGCTGGTTGATTCCACTTACATCCAAACAAAACAAACATCCATTCCCAAAGAGCTGCAGCAAAGGAACAAGAAACCGGTAATAGTCCTCACTATGAGAATTACACATTACACACCAGTAATAGTCCTCACTATGAGAATTACACATTACACACCAGTTTGGGGACAAACAAATAAAAGGCTTTTTCTTTTCTAAGTTCTCCAAAGTATTGATCTTACCAAGGTACACTTCCCAGCAGAAAACAGCAATTTTGGGGGACACAGGCTTTGTCCAAACTTCTTTCACTGGGAAAGGCTCAAAAGAGGTGCTCAAACAAGGGATTTGAAGAATGATGCACAGGTGAAAGAACCTTTTGGATAGGAGTCCACACCCTTTTATCAGGAGAGGAGGGGTCCAAACAAACACTCTCGAGAATGGATAGAAGTTGAGTAACACAAGCAAGCTCCTCCTCCCTTAAGCCCCTACGAAAACCAAAGTCCCAGTTCAAGGATAAAGGTAAAACTGGAGGGGGAAGAAGGACAGAGATAACCTCCTTTTTGTAAAGGGAAAGGGCATATAGAGAAGGAAATAGGTCTTTTAGAGGTTGATTACCCACCCAAGTGTCTTCCCAAAAAAGAACCAAATTTCCAGAGCAAGTATCATACCTTACAAATTGAAGGAACTTGGGGAGGATGCCATGTATTGCCTTCCACGGTGTTGTTTGGGTAGCCTGATGAGATACCCCAGCATCCCAACTAGAGACAGAATAGCCATGAATACTAAGCGCCATAGTTGTCAAGGCGATGCCTAGGCAGGCGCCCTTGGAGGCTCCCCTCACCCAATCGCCTAGCAGTTTTGTGCACTGGGTTATAAAATACTTTTATATTTTTAATTTTTTGACATTATAATTACAAAATAGACATTATTAAACTAGAATGTTCATTTTATGTGTTTATATACTAATTTTTTTATTATTTTCTTATTCTACTAGGGTTTAATCAATGCAACATTGCTAACTATTGTATTGAACCCATGGTTCACAATATCGATACACCTCTGTGTATTGACAGAGGTGTTTCGGTACTTATAATGATACTTCCCCTATTTTTTTATTTCTTTGGTTTTCAATTTCATTTTTAAATATATATATTATTTAAAAAAATGGGTCCTCGAAAACACCTGTAAACAAGTATCAGGACCCCAAAGATACAATACAATACACTCGATATGGGGCGTATCATATCGAAATTTTGATCCTTGATTGACCCCTCAAAAATTTCAAACCCTGAACCTATAAGCAAAGGAAAAACTTAAAATTTTGTCTAATCAACACATTTTCTTCTTCCACCTTTTCTTTTCTTCTTTCCTATAACAAAAGTAGGGGTTCAACCCCTATATTTTTTGAATTTTATTTACTTTGTTCTTTTTCTTCTCATAAAATATTGATTTTCTAGACTTAAACATGAAATTTATACTTTTCTTATGAAAATTATGAATAATTATTAAGGAAAGATGGTTATGGAACTACGGAACTACCCTAGGATATATGGTTTTACTTAAAAAAAAATCATCGCCTAGGCGACTAAGTGCCCCCCTGTCGCCTAGCCTCGCCTTGACGCCTTGAAAACTATGCTAAGCACAACCCTATGCCACAAACTCTCTTTCCAGAGGCCATCTCCATAGCCACTTTCCCAATAAAGCTTCATTTTTTAAGACCAAATTCCCTAATCCCGGACCCCCTGCCTCTTTACTCTGACAAACTGTCTCCCAATTATCTAAGTGGTCCTTTTTCTCCTCCCCCAGTTCCCAAAGAAAACCTCTCATCATTTTTTCTAATTTCCTAGCCTCACTACGGGGGATCCTAAACATAGAGATAGACTGGTAAATTAGCAAGTGTAGCCTTAATCAAAGTTAGCCTTCCATTGTGATATAATTCTTTTTCCAAGCTGCCAACTTTCTTTCAAATTCCTCAACCACTGGGTACCAAAATCTGCTTTCCCTAGGACTCCCACCCAAAGGTAAACCCAAATAAGTCAAGGGCCAAGAGGAAATAAAGCAATCCAAGCAGTTAGCAATAGACTCAACTTCATTGTCATCCAGATTGACCCCTACTACACAACTTTTTTCAAAGTTGATTTTTAGATTGGAAACTCTCTCAAAGTATAATATTAGATCCTTAAGATTTCCCACTCTTCTTGGCTCGCTTCCCTCACAGAAAATAATAATATCATTTGCAAACTGGAGATGAGTTATAGAGACATCATTCCTTCCGATCTTCCAACCATCTATTACCCCTTCCCTATCTGCTTTTGATATTAATCTACTCCAACACATCTGCCACCAAAGTAAAAAGAAAAGAGGAAAGAGGATCACCCTATCTCAACCCTTTGCAAGCTGGAAAGAAATCCTTTACCACTCCATTCACTAGCACAGAGTAATGAACCAAAGTGAGGCAACCAGTCATCCATAAGCACCACCTCTCCCCAAACCCACAAGTCCTAAGTATCTCAAAAGGAAACTCCAGTCCACCATATCATATGCCTTCTCAAGGTCCAACTTGCAAGCAAAGCCTGAACCCCCTGATTTCCTCATATCCTCTACACACTCATTTGCTATTAGGAATTGATCGGTTATCTGCCTACCTTGTATGAAGGCTCCTTGAGCTTGACTAATGATAGATGGTAAGACCACTTTGATCCTTAAGGATAGCATCTTTGCCAAGATTTTATAGATGCTTGTCACCAAACTAATGGGCTTGTAGTTTTTTGGGTGTTTAGCATCAATCTTTTTCGGAATGAGGGCTAAAAAAGTGGCATTTATTCCAAGGCTAATCACATGTCTCTCTTCAAACTCCTTGAAAACCTCAACCAGATCCTCCTTAATTATTCTCTAGCAATCTTGGTAAAAGGCCATGGTGAAATCATCTAGGCCTAGTGCCTTTGATCTATCCATGGAAAACACCGCTTGTTTGATTTCTTCTTCTTCAAAGTTCCTTCCCAGCCAACCTGAAATGCTCTCGTCTAGCCTTGGCCGCTCTAATCCTTCCAGCCTCTCTCTAATGCTTAGAGGTCCTCTCATCCTTGATTTGAAGTGATCCACAAAAATCCTTTCTATCTCTTCTTGAGAGGAGAAGATTTCTCCATCAATTTCCAATTCTTTTTTTTTAGTTTCCATCTTAACTCTCTCTCCTGTTCATTCATTGTTCTTTGGGCTTCCTTCTCATCCAAAACCTCAATGCTTGAAAGTAAATTGGATTTGTGCTCCTCTATTCTCCCAAACTGATCTCTGTTCCACTCTTTTATTTTGGCCTTCAACATTTTCAGTTTTTTGTGGAACCACACTCCTTTTTCATTTTACACCCCTCAAGTGGATGGCAGTTGTTGTTACAAGTGGATGGCAGTTGTTACAAGTGGATGGTTAGTTGTGCTGGTGTGGCCTCTTGTAAAACTGATTAACTGCCTTCTGTTCCTCTTGTAAAACTAATTAACTGCCTTCGTTGGTCTGTTCCAGCAGTCTTGACACACTCAAGTCATCTTTGATTACTATAAAGCCCATGTTCTTTTGGTTTGCCCCTATCTCTTCTAGATCCTTCAACTTGCAACAGGACACTGCTTACTAGTGCAGTATTTGGTCTTTTACTCACATGTCTAAACAATCTAGTCTACTATCATGTATGGAACAACTCTTAAATCCACATGAATATGTTCATTTCTAATACTAGTAATTTTACCATTCAAACATATAACTCCAATTTCTTATCTATAATGAGATTAAATGAGATTTAGAAATAGAAAAAAGAACAAAGATATCAAATACAGTTTGCTACTTTTCTTATACCTTAACTCACGAAATAGACCCTACATAAGAGGTAAAATATATAATAGCTTTCTAGTACAAACTCATCAACAGTCGCACTATTTTCAGACACTTAATGCAAAGCTCCCTTCTTCATCCATGCCAAGAAATTGGCTGACCCAGCCATTGAGGGATCTGCATGAATGAGATATTCAATCTAGATGCTGATGACCTAGCATCTATAGTAGTGTAGGTACAAAAAGCCAGCTGCCTGAAGGTTTAATGTCCCCCTACTCCACCCTAATAACTGTGAAGGTCTAATGTCTATACCAATCTTATATCCTGTAACAGGGCCGTAATCTCACCCCTGTTGTCTCTGAAGACTCCTCCAATAACAGATGGTCCCAGTTCCAAAGAGAACAGCCTGCTTTTGAATGCTGTTATACCAATTTTATATTATCCTAATATAAATATAAAATAATCAGAAATTTAGAAATCACACACAACTAAGAAAGCATTAAAACTAACAATAGTTTCAAGTTACATATTCTTTACACACAATTAATGTCTTTGTAAGAAATTAAGAATGGATTACATTCTGATGCTGGTCATTAAAGGGTAAAGTGGAAGCTGAAGGCCAAAACATAGAGAGCTCTACCTGTCGCCTGTCAAACAAGGCTGAGAGGTTCAACCCTTGAGAAAGGGTAATCATCTCAAAAGCATTCATTATCAAAGGGCCTCTGTCACCATGTTGTGACTGCTCAGACACAAACTGATCCTGCAAGATATGGTACAACATAAAACACAAAGAATACATTTTTTGTAAAGAAAACATAAAGATACATTTAAGTACATGTTATGTTTATGTATTTTAATTTTGGATAATAGGTTTTTTAAAATTTAACTTTATATTTTTTAATATTATGTTTAATATTTTATTTTTTGCTTTTTTTTTAATTTTTTTTCTTTTTTAGCATTTTTTTGTATTTTTGCGACTTGTTTCAAAAAGGCATGCGCCTTGGGCGCAAATTGGCCCCTGTGCCTTACGCCTTTAAAACACTGGGTGGGTAAGTTGAATTACCTAACAATTACTTGGCCAAATATATCATTTGCAGGTAATGTGGTGAGTCAGTTGATGCAGAATCCTGGGTTCCACATTGGGATGCAGTTCTAAGGCTTGTATGGTACTTGAAGGGAGCTCTAGCCTCTAGGTTATGGCTTGTTATATAAGAATGGAGAAAGTCTTGAGATAGAGGGATACACAGTTAGAGAGTGTATGCCCTTGGCTCCAATCAGATTGATGTACATATGCATTTATTGTAAATGAATAAAAGTACATAATTGATTCATATTATATCTGGTATGTTTCTGTGTAATTACCTTTAAACTGGACACTTATGAGACTCGTATTAGCTTAGAATGTTCTTAGCCGTTGGATAGACCTGGGGAGGTTTATCCTACCAAGGCTGACACTAATGTGCTGCCAAGTCAATTGGGGTAGCTTGTCTCAGCTGCCAGGGTGAGACCCGAAGCACATGTAGTGTGTATTTACTTGAAACACTGAACCCAAACCATTTTCTAGTTATGCCCTGGACCTTGGAGACTGGTGGGCAAAACTGAAAAGTTACACCTAACCCCTAGACTCGATTATGGTACTGCACTAGGTGTTGGATTGGGCTGTCTTTGATATGCCAATCAGTGAGATCCTTAGCATGGGTCAAAACCTAGGTATGTTGGCGCAGTCTGAGAATTCACTCGAGTGGGTGATCATAGTGACAAGATCAGCCCCTTTGTCAGACAAAGTGAATGATCAGGGACTACACTCTCTCTGATGGAAACCACGCCATACAAAGAGAGCCAAGTTCACCAGCAATTAAAAGGGGAAGTGAGCCCACTTACTTAATGGGCCTAGGGACCAAGATTAATATGATTAATCAGGGTGTCACATGACAGCTTAAGCAGTCATGTGTGTCATGTGACATAGGGCGAATATGGGTAATGGATCTGGGTTTGGATCAACAGATAAGATAAAGGGATAAGCCTTATCACTTAAGGAGTCCAGATCCAAATAAAGATTTGGATTAGGAAACTCCTAATTGGATTAGGAGAAGCTGATCCTTATAAATAGAGGGGGCGGATTGCTTCAGTTTAACCTTTTCCTGCTCTCAGTTCTCTCCCTCTGTTCTTGCCACCCTACCATATTCGATCTCCAGTTTCTTGGACTGATCAAGATTGGATCTTGATTCTGATTTTTGCAAGAAAAATCATATTTAATTCGTGCTCACCATCCCTTGCTTGATCCTTGCTAAAGGATTGCAGTTCTTGCTGAAGGACTGCATTGTTGAACCTGCTTCATCTCAAGCTGTGCCATCTTCAGTGAAAGCGGGTTTTGGTACCCTCTTTGGGCGTGACACCTACGTTGGGAGCTACACGTGTGGATTCCGTATCGGGTATTGCTCTCCCATTCTTTTGGTTTCAGATCTGGTCCAGTTTGTTTCAAAACGATCCTTGAAAAATGCAATTTTTCTAAAACTAGGAATATGATTCCCGGAAGGGAGAAAATAAATTTTTGAAATTTCGCCCAGCCACCTTGCATGGTTCGGCCATCCATATGATGGATCTCCCTTCCCTTCAAATTGGGCCAGTTCAATATCTGGCATGAGGTCCACTACATGGTATTGTACCTTTCTTGGAGGAAATTTGCCGACATGGAAGAGCAAGAAGCAGACAATGGGGGCAAGAAGCAATGCTGAAGCTGAATATAAAGCCATGGCACACACTACATGTGAACTAGTATGGTTGAGGAACCTCTTACAAGAGATAGGGTATTCGATTGATACCCTTATGAAGCTATATTGTGACAACCAAGCTGCAATCCGCATTTCTTCTAATCCAGTTTTCCATGAGAGAACAAAACATATAGAAGTTGATAGTCACTTTGTGAGAGAGAAGGTGCTCAGTGGAGTGATAATTACTGCATATGTAAACTCAGGAAGTCAATGGGTAGACTTGTTAACCAAATGGTTGAGTCGGGGAAGAGTGGATTACATATGTAACAAGTTAGGACTATATGACATATACTCACCAGCTTGAGGGGGAGTGTTAGAGTTGGTTGTATAGGGGTAGTTTGGCCATTTTGTTTTATGTTAAGAGTGAGGTGTAACGTTTATTATATTTTGGTTTAAGTGTTGTGTCCCATACTTAAGTAGGGGCATAATTGTCTTTGTTCTTTTAATTAGAAACTTATAAATAATATTTGGCCGACTAGAGAGAGAATTCTTCTCTAGTTCAAACCAATCCTTCTCTTCAACTTCTTCTCTTCTCTTCTTTTGTTTCTCTCTTCCCTCTTTCTTCTCTACTCGTTTCTCTATTATTTTATAACTGAAACAAGTACAAATATGAACCATAACACCTATTAACTTATTTTCTGTTAGTAGTATCACTAATTTGTTAAATTGTTTAGTGACCTTTCCTTCTTGTGTAATACAGGATTTGGCCTCGAGGAAGACAATTGGTAGAGGAAGTATGGTGGATGGGCTCTACATGTTGGAGAATAAGGCTAGTCTTGTGGCAACAGAGTCCATGAGTCAATAGTAAGAGTCAGGTCTATTTGTGACATAATCGTCTTAGTCATTTATCTTTTGAGTCATTGAAAATTTTGTTTATCAGAGTTTACATGTCAAACTTGTCAATTAAGTAAACATTGTAGAATTCATTTTTCTTCAAGAAATAATAAATCTGAATTTCCTTTCCATATTGTTCATTCTGATGTTTGGGGCCCTATTACTTTGCCTTCTGAGACTGGCTACAAGTATTTTATTACACTTATTGATGACATGGGTGTATCCAATGTGATCAAGAGATGGAGTGCCAAATTTGTAAAAGATTTCCAACGAATGATCTTCACCCAATTTCAAACTGAAATCCATATCTTCCAATCCAATAATGCCAAAGAATATTTTCATAGTGACCTCACGAAATTTTTTGCTTTGTGCGAATCCCTTCACCGCAGCTCTGGTGCCCAAACACTCGAACAAAATGGTGTTGCTAAAAGAAAGAACTGACATCTTCTTGAGGTTTCTCATGGATTACTATTACATATGAATGTCCCAAAACATTTTTGGCTAGACGTTGTTTTATGTGTTGCATATCTCATTAACCATATGCCATCTCGTTGGTTGGAGTACAAGGCCCCACATCAACTCTTGCTCCCCAAGGCTCCCTTATTTCCTATACATGTGTTTGGTTGTCGTTGTTTCGTTCAAGACTTTCTCCCAGTCCTAATCGTGGTAAACCAGATCCTCATGCTATTTATTGTGTTTTCTTGGGGTATCCCTCATCGCAAAAGGGATACTAGTGTTTTGACACTATTTTTTGGAAATATTATGTTTTTATGGATGTCTCTTTCTTTGAAAGTCACCCTTTTTTCTATTTTTCCTCAGAAAGAGAGTAGGAGCGAGGAGAAACATGCTTAGGTTTAGCTCCCTCCTCTTCCTGATCCTCCTCCATTCTGTGTTTTCTTTCGTTGTCACAAAGGCCAACCAAGTTTAAGGGTTGTCAAGCATCTAGAAGTTGTACCACCAATGCCATCAGATTCCCTAAAGGCTAATCCTATCCACCCAAGTACACTTATCCCTATCGGTGTATTTGATCCAATTGCTATTGATACCTTTGTTGTTGATGACCTTGACCTTACCATTGCTCAAAGGAAGGGAGTTAGGTCTTGCACCACTAAACATCCCATTTCACATTTTGTTTCTTATGAGAACATCTCACCTTATTTTTGTGCCTCCCTCCCTTCCACTGACAGTGTTCCTATTCCTAAGAATGTGGCAAAATCTCTTTTAATGCTTGAATGGACAAATGCAATGAAAGAAGAGATCAGTGCTTTACATAAAAATGGCAAATGGGAATTGGTGGATCTTCCTAAGGGAAAGGAACCAGTTGGATGTAAGTGGGTGTTCACAGTAAAGCACAGGGTAGATGGCACTGTAGAACAGTATAAAACTCGATTAGTGGCAAAGGGTTTAATCAAATGTATGGAGTAGATTATGCATAGACATTTGCTCTGGTTGCTAAGATGAACGCTATCAAAGACCTTTTTTCCCTAGCTGCTAACCTTGATTGGGACCTTCATCAGTTAGATATCAAAAATGCCTTCCTGAACAATGATCTTGAAGAAAAAGAAGTGTACATGGTGCAACCCCCCAATTTCCGTGTTCAAAGCAGTGAGCAGAAAGTGTATAGGCTGAAGAAGTCCTTATATGGCCTAAAACAATCACCAAGGGCCTAGTTCAGTAGGTTTCATTTAGTTGTGTAGTAGAGAGGCTATAAGGAGCATCAGTCTGACCATACATTGTTTATGAAAATAAGGGAAGGTAAAATTACAGCCCTGGTAGTATATGTTGATGATATAGTTAGATATCAAAAATGCCTTCCTGAACAATGATCTTGTAGAAAAATAAGTGTACATAGTGCGACCCCCAATTTTTGTGCTCAAGGCAGTGAGCAGAAAGTGTACAAGCTGAAGAAGTCCTTATATGGCCTAAAGCAATCACCAAGGGCTTGGTTTAGTAGGTTTCATTTAGTTGTGCAATAGAGAGGCTATAAGTAGCATCAATCTGACCATACATTGTTTGTGAAAATAAGGGAAGGTAAAATTGCAGCCCCGATAGTATATGTTGATGATATAGTTATTACTGGTGATTGGAAAGATGAAATTCAAAAGTTGAATGAGTTCCTTGCTACTCAATTTGAAGGTTTTTTTCTTGGAATTGAAGTTGCCCACTCACAAAAGGGGATCTTCATTTTATCAAAGGAAATACATCATAGATCTATTACAAAGATTCAGGAAAGTTGGGGGTGAAGCCAACTGATTCCCCTATTGATCTAAATCACAAATTAGGTGGTTGCCATGGTTAGTATATCAAAGATGTGAAGCAAAATAAAATTTTAAGATTTTTGTAAAATTCACATAGAAAATTTTAAGATTTTTTTTTCAATTTTTGTCTATTTTGTTAACATTTTTTTTAAATATGCTTATCATGGCCTGGCCTAACCCAAAGCTCAGCTTATAGGCCATCCCAGGTCGGGCCCACCTAGGCTCGTGCCATGGGCCATGCTGGGCCGGACCTCTTAAGTATCCTAGAGGAGGTAAGCACGGCCCAATTTACACCTCTACAGCCAAACATTACTTATGTTGTGGGGATTCTTAGTCAGTTCATACATGCCCCTAAGACCACCCGCCTAGAAGCAACTAAGAGAATCCTCAGATATCTTAAGAAATTCCTAGGTGTTGGTTTGTTTCAGAAGCATGGACATTTGAAGGTTGAGGTGGATACAAATCCAGACTGGCAAGATCAATTGATGACAGAAAATCTACTAGTGGTTATTGTACCTTTGTGAAGGAAACCTAGTCACATGGAGAAGAAGCAAAAAAACAAAATGTAGTGGCTAGGTCTAGTGCTGAAGCTGAATATAGAGCAATGTCTCGTAGAGTTAGATTACGTGGATAAAAGTTTGTTGGGTGAGCTGGGATGTACGATTGATGGTCCCATGTCTTTACCAGTGTTTTAAAAGGCGTGGGAGGCGTACGCCTGGCGAGGCGCTCCTAAAATGCCCTGAGGTATATGCCAGATGCGCTGATACCTCTGAGGCGTACGCCTCGTGCACATCTAATATAAAAAGCCAGAAAAAAAAAAGAAAAAAGAAAAAAAAGGAAAGAAAAAGAAAATGAAGGGAAAGAAAAAGAAAGAGAAGAAAAAAAAAAGAGAAAAGGAAAGGAAAGGGAAGGGAAGAAAAGGGAAGAAAAGATAAGGGGAAAGAAAGTGGTTTGCCCCTTTCCCCTTCGGCTGGGGGGCTTCACCCCCCAGACCCCCTGCCCCCTTTTCGATGCAGCCCAATTTGTTTTTCTTTTTAGTTAGGGGGGTCTTGCTCCGCTTCGGCGGGCGAGCGAGTTCGACAAGACACCCCCCCTTTGAACTAATGTTATGCATCTTTATTCTTCTCAATACAAAAGACTTTTATTAAAAATAAAGAAAAAATGAGATCCCCCCTTCCTCTTCATCCTCCTCCTAACCCCCTCCTCTTAAGGAGGCTTACACCTCCTTGTGTTTGGGAGGCTTATGCCTCTTGCATTCTAAACTACGCCTCACGCCTCTAGGTAGTGGAATGCCTCACGTCACTCCTCCGCGTTTTAAAACATTGGTCTTTATATTGTGATAACAAGGCTGCCATCAACATTGCAGCCAACCCAGTTCTCTATGATGGAATCAAGCATATTGAGGTCGAAAAACACTTTATTAGGGAAAAACTTGTCAGTGGGGAAATGTATACACCCTATGTCAGTTCTGAAGAGAAACTTGCAGACATCTTCACATAGGGCCTACATTACTTGCGGCATAATGATTTATGTGACAAGTTGGGCATGATTGACATCTATGTCCCAACTTGAGGGGGAGTGTTAAAAGACTTTCCTAAGTTCAGCTTTAGTGCTACATGGGCAATATTGTACTTTTACTTTATTTTTTTATCGCCCTAATATAAATACTAATACTGGTGCCGCCAACATGACTTTTTGGCTCTCAATCTTTTTCTCTTCTCTCCTCTCTTCTTCTCCTCTCTTACAGCTTTCCTCTTATTGTTCTTTGTTTAATAGCATGAAATATTACTTCACAATTCTCATTTCTACAAGAAGGAAAGTAAAAGATAAAGAAGGAACTAAAAATGGCCTACCTCAATGTCATCAAAAACTGCTCGTACATCATCCAAATTGACTACTTCATCTTCCCCATGCCTAACAGTAACATAGTTTTTCCTGAACCATGGATCATTTTTTATTCCTTCAATCCGAATTCGCTGCATGAACATGGGAAAATGGTAAGAAAAGAAAAGACAACTGAAAGTTCATTAAGGAATTTTCTTTTTCTTCATTATCATTTTATTTAACATGCATCCCCACATATATCCTCTTTGGTGAGCATAAGGCCTTCAGTAGAGCAGAATGGAGGAATTGGATCGCCTTCATAAGTGGGATGAGGCAAGTGGTAATGATATTACTAATGATCTTCTCAGGTATTTAACATACCATTGTTTCTCATTCCATCATTGGCCTTTCAGATCAATTTATTAGATAGTAGCATATGTTACAAGAAATATCATTTTGACCATTGAATTCTCACTTATAGGAAAGTTAAGTCAATAGATATAAAACTGCATAGTGACCACTAGACCTGTTCATGGGCCGGGCCGGGCTTTGCCTCTATATCAACAGAAAATGTGCAGGCCCAAGCCGGAGCCCGGCCTGACCATCGGGCCTAGATCTTGAACCTGAGCCCAGCCCTTATATAAAGCCCGAAGCCCAACCTATACACAAAATGTCTTATTTTCAGTGTACTTTTATAAACTAATATTATATTAAATTAGTAATAATTTAATAAATTAATAAACTAATTTGTATTTCCTAATAGTAAATTAATATTTATTAATAATTTAAGAAATAAATATTATATATATATTTATTATATATAACATAAATGCTTTTTTATTATATGTAATAGTATAGGGCTGGGCTTATTTGAGAAAGCCCAAGCCTGGCCCAAAAAATGATTGGGTCGGGTATTTAAAGCCCGAGCCCAAGCCCGTGGACCTGAAGTTTTTTCCAAGCGCGAAAAATAACGGGCCAGGCCATTGGGCTACCCAGCCCATGAACAGGTCTAGTCACCACCTTAAGTGTGGATAGAAACTCAAATTTGATAGATGTAATTTTGGTTATCAAAGACCTCAGAAATGGGAGGGATAACTAGGATCTTTCTATCATTGTCTATTAGCATCTTATTGAGGTAGTGAACAAATGGTCTGTGTAGTACTCACACTCTTAGGATTTGGATCAAGTATTTTACGTATCAATGCCATTGCTCCAGGAGAGAACCAAGGTGGACAGGAAAAATCTGCTGCATTGATCTATAAATGAAACAAAAAGAATAATTAGAAATATACCCAGATCCCAGATCATAAAGACTACAGCTTAGTAATGTTATTAAGAATCCTTAGTGTCCTACTTGTGAGTCAATCATCTCAGAAGTCATGTATTTATTCAAGTGCCTATGCCTAAAGTATAAACCAGAAAAAATCAGATCCTAAATGAAGATAACAAACTAATAATCATAGAACAAAATGTTAGGCAGTCAATAAACAACATGTCCAGAAAATGAATGCAGCAGAAATGTAAATGCTAAAATTGATGAGTGGAAAAACTAAAAAGGATAGGATTAGGAATGAAGTTATCCGTAGGAACCTAGGAGTAGCTCCAATATGTGATAGAGAGAGAGAGAGAGAGCAGACTAAGATGGTTTGGGTACATTCATAGAAGACCACAAACTGCACCAGTTAGAAGAAGTGATTTGTTACAAGAGCTCAGGGTAGACCAAAGGAGGGTAGAAGTAGGAAGAAATGATTTAAGCACTAACAATTTAACAGTGGATATGGATTTAAATATAATGAATTGGAAAAACACGATTCATGTAGCTGACCCCATACAATTGGCATAAGGCATGGATGATGATGACGTGTGTTAGAATATTAGAGTTATGTTCGGCTGATAAGAGTTCTTATTAGCCCATTCTTATGTTTAACTTTTCTTGTAACTGGGCTTGTGTTAATGGGCCTAATCHTGWTTAATGWYTWA